GAGGAAGGGGCCAGACCACAAAGGTCATACATGCAGTCCTTAGAAGCTGGATAAGAAACAAGGTTCTCTCCCAGAGCCTCCCAGAAGCCACCCAAATGTGATTATAGTGAAGAGCATGGTGACTTTCAGAACTAGATAACGTTAAGCTCCTGGTCAGCCACTGGGTTTGTGGTAAGTTATTAAAGCAGCAAGTTTAAATTTTAAGTATACTCTTTACACAACACATATATGGCTCTGACCTTGAAAAGCCAAGACTATCAAATTGAAAAGTTTCTATATCAATCTCTCTCTGGATTTGGTTTCAACGGCCTCTAAAGCTGAGTAAGGCTCTTTTCCCAGCATTTCCATGGGCTGCTGCAGATTTACTGTTTTGGATTCAATATTGCTGTCAGGAAATAAAGAACAAAAGCCCAGAGCCACTTTCCAAAGTCGTAAACTTCGAGATTGCATGCACCCCCATTCCAACCAGATAGTCTCATTTAGAATCAAGACACTTGCTTTCCAGGATGAAAGGCTGTACTGCCCAGTCAGCACCAAGGCAGAGATGCTGCTGGGGGCTAATGGGAGGGAGAAAGAATGGATTTTCCCCACTGAGGATATAAAGTAAGAAAAAGGGAATAATGAATGTTGGGCAGAAGAGCCTCATTTAGTCATTTAATTCTATGTGGGTAAGCAACATCTGTGAGCAAGTTGCCTTTCCTCTCAGCTTACAGACATTTATAACCATCCCAGAAGGTGGTGTCAACACATCATGATGAAGTGAGAGGATAAACTCTAACTGCTGGCTACAGTAAAACCTATAGAGAGCCCAGAGATCACAGGTCTAGTCCCCAGCACCAGAGCATGAGGCCCTCTATATTCCTGCTGTCCTATGCTAGTCCTGTCTCCTGCCGTGATGAGAACTGATTCCTATGACAGTCAAGTCCACATCTGGAATGATTACTTTCTGACAGTATTCTGATTTTGCAGTAATTTCTTTTGGCACCACTTGTCCTAGCACTGTTTTCTCATAAGTCTGAACCAGGGGTTTAACTGCAGGTGACTAGTAGCATGCACTGATAGGTTTGAAGCATTAGATGCACCGAGTGCCTGGATCAGTGATACTGGAGACTGTACACCAGGATTCTGAAAACTCCTCACATGAAGCCATAGTTTAGAATTATCAGCTTTTATCTACAGGATTCTGAAAGCTCTTCCTAAGAAGTAATAGTTGAGAATTACTGGCTTGCACCTACTCTTCATAGTTACAAAATCCTCACCTGAACTGAATGTTGTCTTTCTTAGTTGTGGCTGTCAACTATTCCTTTAGAGTAGAAAGAACAAAGCAATTTGGAGATATTATGAGTAGCCTCAGGTAAGGAATCCATAGAAACACAGAAAGCATTCAGAGAAGACTTGGAGGCTCAAAGCAGTAGTGGGATGACTTGATTTCTTCCACAATTAAATAAGCCTCTTTAACTTTAGACAAGTTTGATGTCATCTAAAGCACTTTTGTTCTTCAAATGACATTGGAAAAAAAGCAAAGAGACAACCACCAATAGGGAGAAGTATTTGCAAGCCGTCTATCTGATGAGGGTCTGGTATATAGAATATACTAGGAACTATTGTAATTCAATAATAAAGACATAATGCAAGATGTAGAAGAAGGTCTGGGAATTTGGCTCCATTGGTACAGTGCTTGCTTACCTTGCATGCATGAAGGCCTGGGCTCAATACCCATCACCAGCTACGGTGGCACACAATTGCAACTCCAGCATGTGGGAGGTAGACACAGGAGGATCAGAGGTTTGAGGTTATGTTCAACTACGGAGTAACTTTGAGGTCAGTCTGGGCTACGTGGCAACATATCTCTAGATAGAAAGATAGACAGACAGATAGATGAAATAAAAAATAAACAAAAGACTTAGACAGATATTTTTCTAAAATAGATGTATAAAAATATAGTCAGCTTTTCTTCCAATATCTACTTAAACAGGCATATTAATACTTTATTACCATGCCTATTGTTTAATTTTATAAGATTTACTAACATTTTTGCTTCAATTTTAAATTGCTCATATTCAGAAAGCACTGGACTCATGGAGCAGTTGGCTGTTTAGGTAAATCCTCCTAGATACATCCCCAGATTCTGATTCTGAGGCTTTGAGGGATGGTGATGGGTCTGCAATTTTTTTTCTGAGAACACTGTGTTGAGGAATGCTGGTGGCTGTAATGGGTCTGAACTGTTTAAAACTGACCTTGGTCCTCACTTATAGCAATGGCTTTAGTCATCCTTCCCAAAGTGATGAACAAAAGATTCTTCTGGCTTAAGAGCCAATGAAGCTGTTAACTGATAATTACAGTATCAATTACAAGGGTAACTGATAAGAACTGAGTTCATGCTAAGGAGTGGACCAGACCAGAATACTTAACCATAGGGGAGAAAGATGGTCACTCTCCTGTAGTATTGACACCATGGGCAAGTGGTCTCCAAAGCGCTAGAAAATAATTGGGTTTTTGAGGGAACCTGGCTCTTTAGGCACTGTGGTTAAGGGAAAACCTGAGAGGAGCATGATTGTATCCATATCAGGACTTGGGTGAGCTTAGGACACAGAATTTCAGGGCATAGACAAAATGAGTTACAACAACACAGTCCAGCCTTGAGAAGCTTCTTTTAGCTGTCAGTTTGACACTATACTCAACAAAAGGCCCTATGTAAAGTAGAGACTCACAGGGAAGTAAGGAGATATTAGTCAAAGAAAGCAAGTTTCTAGCTTCAAAATGAGAAGATTCTGGACACTAGGGCCCAGTGATGACTGTAAGTAATGGGAATGTTTGCTTGAAATATGAAAAGACAGTCTTAATGAGAGAGAGAGAGAGAGAGAGAGAGACAGACAGACAGACAGACAGACAGACAGACAGAGACAGAGACAGAGACAGAGACAGACAGACTGATAGACATCAGAGCTGACATGGATGTTTGAATAAACTCGATTGTGGTAAGCCTTTTACAAAATATGCGAATTGAAACATCTTGTTCTATGCTGTCTGAGTTAGGGTTTCTATTGCTGTGAAGAGACACGATGACCATGGCAACTCTTAGGAAGGAAAACATTTAATACGGGGTGGCTTACAGTCTTAGAGGTTTAGTTCATTATCAGTGGTGAGTCATGGCAGCATGCAGGCAGACATGGTGCTGGAGAAGTTGCTGAGAGTTCTACATCTTGATCCACAGGCAACAGAAAGTGAACTGTCATCCTGGGTGAAGCTTGAGCATAGAAGACCATACCTACACTGATACACTTCTTCCAATAAGGCCACACCTACTTCAACAAAGCCACACCTAATAGTGCCACTCCCTTTGGAAGACATGTTATTTCAAACCTTCACATATGCTTTAAATAAATACAATCTGAATTTGTCAATTGCGTTTGGGAAAAACCATAGCATCTTTTCTAGTTGACTGCATTGTCTTCTAGACATGTTTCCAGTTGTCCTATCAACTGGCCTAGCCTGTGTTCTCCTCTCTGTGTTTTGATAGGACTCCAGCCTCTTCCTACAACAATTCTGACTATTCACTTCAGCTTTGCCTCTTATCATTTCTAATACCGACACTTCTCAGCTTATCATTTTTCCAAGAACCCCACCTCACAACCCAAGCCCAACTTCATGTGGTTGAATGAGCTCTATCTGCTAACATGCCTCAGCATCCATTGCACTGATGATGTTGACTGACGCCCTTGACCAGAAGGGTGTAGGGTCTTTGCTACCTTTTCTTTTTTTGCACATCCTACTTTGGATATATGCGCTTGGACATTCCACACTTGGCCATACTGTGTCATATTCCCCATCAATCCTTGTCTTACAGGATTATTGAAGGAATGCAAAGTGGGTCTCTTCTCACATGCCAATTCTAATTGATTATTAATAGATCAGCAAGTGGAGTGTTAAGAGGAATAGCAGTGGATCTTAGCATGTAATACTCAGTTAGTCATGCCTGCCTCTGTGACGATGTGTGTAGGGTCTTTCCTGGGCATTGAATGAGAATTACCCCCCAGTAGGCATGTGTATTTGAGGACCTGATCTCCAGTTGGTACTGTATGGAGCTATTAGGAGGTGGCACCTTGCTGGAGGAAGTATGTCCCTGGAGTGCCTGTGAGAGTTTGCTAGACTGGCCTCACTTCCTGTTTCTCTCTGTCTTCTGTATGGCATGGGATATTACCATTGCATTTCCTGAATGGCAGACCAGCCTCATGCTTCTGGTGCCAGTCCTGCCCTCACATGAATGGACCGGAGTCCCTCTGAAGTGTGAGCTAAAACTAAACCTTTTTTTCCAAAAGTTGCTTTTGTCGGGGTGTTCTATGACAACATAAAAGTGAGAAGTACCATCTTGAGTTTGAAGAGATGGCCATCTTTGGAGGAGTCATTTCTTTTTTCTTTTGGTGGGGGGGGGTGGCTAATACACTGACTACAAATTCTTGTAACAAGTCATTTCTGTCTTCTCCCATTTCCTGGTATTTTAGTTATTATACTTCCTTGAGGGAACACAATGGCCTTTTCCATTCATATTTGCTTTAGAATATCTGCAACTCAGAGTTGGGGGGCACTGTGGATTATGTCACTTCCCCAAAGAGAAAATATACTACCGAAGTCTTCATAAAAATCTATTTTGTGGATGCAGCTTGGGAATTGAGTGAAAAATTGAATATAAACTTTCTAATCTCAGGTTGGAAAGCATAGCTTCTGGGTTGAGCTGTCCCTCATTATTAAAGAGATAAATTCCCCATGACTGTTGCTTACCTTTTGTTGTCTATAGTCTCTAGTTACTGGTCTCTCAGGACAAAATGCTACCTTTATTCTGAGTTGAAATATGGATATCCAAATTGTGGGATCTCCACCCAGAGCTGAATTCCCACTCACCACATAAGAATCAGGACCATACATACCAAATCCCATACCATGTCCTACGGCACTTGATATTCCTGTAACTGTCAGTGTCACAAAGCTCTGACGTAACTTACCTTGTAGTGGAAGAGAAAGAGTCCACAGAACAGACTGTACAGATCTGCTGTGAGCAGAGACAGGTTGACAGAGGTGGCACTTGTTTTCTTTATGACAACTGGCATGAAGCTGTAGAGACCAAACATGCAGGCACTAAAGCCAACATAAAGCAGTCCTGGGAAACAAAGAGAAGTGTCAGGGAATCTGCAGGGCATCTTCAGCGTCTGGATTTGGACGACAAGGGGACAGGGCACATCATCCATGACTCATTATAGGTAGTTTTTTTCCTTTCACTGCATTTTGTGGTGTTTGATATTGGCCAGTACACAGAGAAAACATAAAATGGAGACTTAAAAACTGTGCTTGGAAAATGCACATTCTCCTTACCATGTAGCTGACAGCCTACTGCTTCCAGAAAAGCTTTTTTTTTTGTCGAGACAGTGTTTCTCTGTATTGTTTTAGAGGCTATCCTTGAACTTGCTCAGTAGACCAGGCTGGCCATGAACGCACAGAGATCCGCCTGCCTCTGCCTCCCGAGAGCTGGGATTAAAGGCGCCACCAACACCCAGCTCAGAAAAGTTTCTTAGTGGCAATATGGACAGGTTCCCAAAGTCTACCCCAATTTGCTGCAACTGTTGTCAGTTTTAAGATTCCCCACCCCCATGGTGTGTGTGTGTGTGTGTGTGTGTGTGTGTGTGTGTGTGTGTGTCTGTCTGTCTGTCTGAATGAGGAGGTCAGAAGAAAGCATCATATTCTCTAGAGCTGGAGTTAAAGGCCATTGTGTGACTCCACAATATGGGTGGAAAGAACCAAACTCAGGTCCTTTGCAAGAACAGTCAAGTTCCCTTAGCTGCTGAGCCATCTCTCATGGCCTGTCCATGTATTTCCAAACAGTTTTAACCACTTAGGTTTTATTTGCAAAACAGGAATGAAATATACTATTACTGCTCTCAGTGGTAAACTACACAACACTGAAATCAGAGACCTTAACTTGGACCACCAAACTGAAGACTTAAACTACATCTTTGGACAGACAATGGAATTTCTTTGAACATAGGAAATCCATTAAATTTTTTTAACTAATGAATTCTGTTCATCTCTATACCAAAGAAATTCAGAGTTATCCTTTTTCAGCTTTCCTAGGTTATTATGGACTCTAGACACACTATTGTTGATATTGATTCTGTGAGTACAGGGTTTGGATTGTATATAGCAGGATTCTACAGATGATGTAGTGTCCATCATTTCCCAGACATTGAGGTGATACACATGCACAAAAATAATGCTCACTTCTCTGCTTGTTCTCTGAAAGAACAAGACACAATACACTTCTATGATTCTCTGGGTATCATAAGCAACCTCCCCCATGGAATCTTGGATTAAAGGTGTCTGGTGTAGAATTTGAGCACTTTGCTTCCTTTGAATCCTGTGAGTTCAGGGGGACTTGGTCACTATCGGATGTTCAGGTCATCTGAATAAGTGATGGCTCCATTGCTTTTCTCTTAGGAGATATACTAAAGGGCACAGAGCTTATTCTATATTTCTGATTCTAAGTTTAAGAAAAGTTATATCAGATACATATAAAAATCATTGTGAACATTAAGCAAATAGTACAACAGCCCCCTCTAGTGTGGTGGACATGCCCTCCGCACCAAGTAAGATGATATCCCTGTTTCTGGGTTCAGTAAGCTAGGAGACCTCATTGTTCATATATAGTCTGCCTAAATACTAGTATGTGGTGTGTGACTCTCCATCAGAAATTTAATTCCATAGAGTCAATTTCACTTGAGCTTCATGTTACCTATAATTGACTTTCCTTTTAACCAACTTACAAAATACATATAACAAATACTAGATAACCTATGACTAATACATAAAAAGACCTGAGAATTAATTCAGAATTCCTTGAGAAATTTGCCATTAACAGACAAGGAACAAGTGCTATTCTTAAATTATTCTACTAAAGATAATCAAATTTGGGTAGAATATAGTCCAGACACACCAGAGCCTGCCTGTCTTTCCTCCCTCCTTCCCTCCCTCTCTCCCTCTCTTCCTCCCTCCCTCCCTCCCTCCCTTCCTCTCTGTTTCTCCCCTTCTCCCTTATCTCCCCCCTTTCCTCCCTCCTTCCCTTCTTCCCTCCCTCCTTCCCTTCCTTCCTAAACTTCTATCTTATTTTCTGGTAAAGATTACATGGACAGTGACTTGTGGGCTCTGATGCTTTGTATTCACTCTCTTTTTAATATTTTATTTCACTCACTTTACATACCAACCATAGTTCCCCCTTCCTCCCCTCCTCCCCCCTTCCCCACCTATCCCTCACCCACCCTATTCACTCTTCAGAAAGGGTAAGGCCTCCCATGGACAGTCAACAAAGCCTGGCATATTCAGTTGAGGCAGAAGCAAACCACTCCTCCCTCCATCAAGGCTGAGCAAGGCAACTCACTATGGGGAAAAGGTTCCCCAAAGTCAGCTCATATACTAGGGATAGATCATTGGCCCATTGTCAGGGGTCCTGCAAACATACCAAGCTACAAAACTGTTGGACACATGCAGAGGGCCTGGTTTGGTCCCATGCAGGCCCCCTGGTTGTCAGTCTATAGTCTGTGAGCTCCCACAAGTCAACTGTCTTGATCTTCACCCCCTACCCCTTGCTCATATAATTCCTCCTCACTTTCTTCAACTGGACTTCCATAGCTCAGCCTTATATTTGGCTGTGGATCTGTGCATCTGTTTCCATGAGTTACTGGACTAAGGTTCTATGATGATGATTATGGTGGCCACCAATCTGATTATAGGGGAGGGCTAGTTAGGGCATCCTCTCCACTACTGCTAGGAGTCTTTCAGGGGTCATCCTTGTGGATTCCTGAGAATTTCCCCAACGTCAAGTTTCTCCCTAGCCCCTATAATGGCTCTCTCAATTGAGATATCTCTTTCCTTGCTCTCCTACCCCATTGGTCCCTCAACTCTACCTTTTTCAACCAATTTTTCATTGCGAGCCTAGTGTGCCATGGGTCCTCTGCTTGACTAGAAATCCAGTGAAATGGGGGACAGACAAGAAGCTTAAAGCTGTTCATGGTGAAATAATGAACAGGTTTCTTGGAGACAATGGCCAGGGCTTACTTTAAGAAGGATCCTCAGCTAAGTCTGCTCTGCAGAGGTGGCATTTACTTTGAATTTAAGGACTAGCAGGAGATGAGAGGAGGCAGAGATGTCTTCACCTGAAAAGATTCTCAATGAGGGGAAAGTTATAGTTTATTCTAGGGCCTTCCAGAGGCCAAAATGACTGAATCATAAGAGTGAGGTAGAGGAATTAAGGAGGCCATATATCATGCAGAGGCCCGAATGTCTTAGAAAGAAATTTCTAATTGCTCTAGGAATCCCCTGAGCAGTTTGCACCAGTGATCTAACACAATCTAATGTACATTTTAAAAAGATAACTTTGGCTACTCTTTGGAGGAGGAATGAAATGAGGACAATATGAAAAGAGAGTTGTGGGGAGAGTGATGTCTGTGATCAGGCAGGAAAGTGTAGTCATTCACTTGGGGAGCAAAAGGGAATTGGCTGGGTCTGAGCCAACCTGTTGACGTCTTGAGGTTAAGTTGTGGTGGGAAAGGAGGGCATGAAGGAAGCTGATATCCCTCTACTGTAGCAAATGGGTGAATCGTGGTGCCATTTGCTGAGATGGAGAGAGCAATGAGAGGTTATGTTTTCAGGAGGAGTGAAACAACACTTGAATGTGTCGGTTTAGATAATGGTTCACCATTCAAGTGGATTAGTCTAGTAGAGTTCTGGATGTATCATGATTAGGCTGAGAGAAGAGACAGGACTTCAAAAACTACGTTTGCTGACCTAAGTAGAGTAGGAACACAGTTATATAACAGACCATCACTCTAGTATTCGGGTCAACTCAAGATGATTCCAGTTTAAATATTCTACATATATTCCATAACATTGATGAAGTTAGGTGGGGATGACATACACCATCATAGCTGATTGCTTCTACTAAGCCAGCAAGGGCTTTTGTGTGGATACTCTATTTTGTGAATGAAGCAGTCAGTCAAACAGACACATGATTAGACAGGAGGGGGATGAAGTATGGGTAGTTAATGGACATTAGCAGTTCACCTCAAGACCCAATTTGATGTGCAAGGAGAATTTCCAATCAATAGACATGATCAAGCAAATTAACTATTTTTGTCTAGTAAATATATAATGATTGCATTAAGTTCATTTATAAACAGAGTGTGTATATAACCATTTCTTTTTGAAATGTATTTTCTACTAAGTTTAGAGTTTGATTTCTCTTGTCATCATGCACTAAAGAGACTTAAGATAGAAGAACTGAAAATAACACTAGTGACTAATCATGATAGGGTCTTTACTATCTGTTATGGGTAGTATATGCACTAGCTAATCTCAAAAGCAATGCAATAGAATTGCTGTTGCTACTGTAGATAGGAGATGGATTTATGGATTATGTTGATCAAGAAATACTGCTCATACCAGATAGAACAGAGGAAATTTAACAGAACATCTGCTACAAATATATTTGAATGGTTGATAGGGGAAACAGGAGTGAAGAGGCAACTAGAGACTAGCAATAACTACAAATTATACCCATGATGTAGAGAAATAAAGGCATAATTTGTATTACCTATGGACAGAAACAAGAGGAGTGCAACAGAGGGAGATCACAAGGGACTCAGCTATTTCTGGAGACCTGAACACTAACAGTATGGAATAAAAACAAACACCTGCTTTCTTTCTTCTCTCCTTCTCATCTCCCACTACTTCCTTTCATTGACCAAACCTTCCCAGTCTGGGAAGGATCATCTGTATGCATAGAACAGTGGGAGGGGAAGACATTGATCTGTAAGAAACAGGCCAAGGACCTCAGGACACAAATTGGACACCCTGTTTGACAAATGACTATTTCATCTTGTGTATGTGTATACATATGTGTATATAGTGTGTATCTGTTTGTGCTATAGGAATTTTATCTCCTCTTTTCCTTTGACATCCTACTGGTGTTGTCTTCCCTTTGTATACACTAGACTAAGACATTTTTATTAATAATCACAAGATAAAATGACTTCACAGAGCATATGCATCAAGTCAAACATATTAAGAGCACTGGGCTGTCTGGATCTGCTAAGACAATGCAAATTTGTTCTATCACAGGAAACTCAAAGCCTGGTCAAGTAACCTCAGAAACACCAGTGTAAGTTTCATCCTTGTACATTCTGTTGTGTGCCTCTGTGTACAGTTCTCTCTCTCTCTCTCTCTCTCTCTCTCTCTCTCTCTCTCTCTCTCTCTCTCTGTGTGTGTATGTGTGTGTGTAGATCAAATATCAATATCAAGTGTCTTCTCAATCATTCTTCTGTTGATTTTTTGAGACAGGAAGTCTTCAGGAGCTCAGTGCACCCAGTTTAACTAGACTAGCTGGGCAATAAGGCCCCAGGATCTACTTATATCTGCCTCCCCAGTGTTGACACTACAGATGCACTCCACCATGTCTGTTTTTTTACCTGAGTTCTGTGGATCTGACTTCAGGTCCTCATATTTTTCAGGCATCACTCTACCTACTGAGTCTTCTCCCAGCACTCCTGAAGGCATCCTAAAGGATCTTTCAGAAATTCCCTGTTCTGTGACCTCATGATCCCATTGCCAGGTGGGGTAACAAAACAGTCATCAGCTATCACATCAAAGTGGAAAGGCACACCCATGTAAGCAAACCTATTTCTCTTGACCCCCAGAACATTCTTTCTTTCACATTTGACTTTCACATCAGCCTACATTTTTTCCTACACCCATTAGCACAAAATGGCACATGTGATAAAGGGAATATTTAAGTTGTTTACTAGATTTCTGGCTGTGAGCTAACATTCCTGCTCTGGGGGAGGACAGTTTGGCTGTATTAAGTCCTATGTTTTACTTGAGTTTACTGATTAGATAATCACAAGCAATCTTTCTGCTCAGTGGAGTAAAACAAAGGAATGAAAACAATGATAACCATTATCGTCTTGTTTTTAATCGCTCTATCTTCAAATTAGTCCACACATTGTACAAAAACAATAATCCATTAAAAATAGTCTTCATATCCAGAAAATATGAAGTACTTCTTTTCCTACTTACATCACAGGGGAAAAAACACTCTCTGCATTGATAAAATAGGAGCTGCCCCCAGAGATTCTGTGAGGTATATTAGAATTGTAGACAGAGAGGTAGGGAAAATTCATTAATAGACCATGGTGAATGAAGATAGTCTCTGGTTCAGTGTCATCCCTGCCCCTATCTCCCCCCATGTGTTACTGGGAACTGATCTTAGCTCCTTGAACATACCAGGCAAGGGCTCTACCTATAAACTGTATTCCAGCCTCCCTAGATTCTGTTCTCTTCACCAGAGTGACATATGCTCTTCTCCAGGACACACCCATGAAGGGTAGGGCTCTTGATTCACTCTAGGCTGACCTTCTGAAGTATTGGGGGAGGGGTAACAGGATGTTGACCTCCTCCAGTGTCTCCCTGATCCTTTGACCCATGAACTTTTGTTGCTGCTCTGCCATTTCTCAGTCACTCAGAAGACAGGGCAGCATTATCTCAATGCTATGGTCCCTACTGCTTCCCTTTTGTCTCTGTTAGAACAGAGACCCATTTTGTTTCTTCTGTCATCCATGCACCTGCTCATTTAATGATCAGTGGTTTACCGAATGTCACTTGAGTATAACTGAGCTATACAACCAGACCCTGTAGTCAATCAGAGTAAGTTTACAGGGACAAAGGTGGCTGTGCTTCGGAAAGCGAGCAAGTGCTTCGGAAAGGGGGAAAATGAATATTTGATCCTATATCTAGGCCATTTTGGCTTCATTTCCTACCAGGAATTAATTTGATGGCCCTGTGATATGTTCTTTTTACACAGTCTTCATCATCTTGAGCTGCAGGGGACTGACATCTTAATGGCAATATGAGAGTTCAGGATAAAACTACCTTGTGACAGCACATTTAACTAACACTGAATTATAACAAAGTCTCGGCGGACATGCACAGGACATCTCCATAATTAGAGGACAAATTCCTTTTGATTACTGCCATTACCATCAATATCGAATTAATTTATCCTCACAGACCACTGTGAAGTGCTATGTAGCATGTCACATTTAAGCAACCTGGCTTCAAGAGGCACAAAGGCACATGCTTCTGGATCCAGCAGCTGCTTTCTTTCCTAGCTGTCTACTTCTCCTCTTCCCTCACCCTCCTCTCTATCGATTTTCATTTAATTATAATATTTCCTATCCATACTTGTGAAACAAGCAAATGCAGGACTCTGAAACAAACCCGGGGGTAGGTTAACCCGTGTTTGAAGTCCCTGAGCTAACCTACCTGGTCATATAAACGTCTGTCACTCAGTCAGCCACCAGGGGGCATAATGCTGGTAGTAAACCAGTTTTGGATGCTTATGGGAAGGGGGGCAGACACAGCGGGTCTGAAGTCTTTCCCAAATATACGGAAGCTGTCATGTATACCAAAGCTATACATATTGGATGTGTGGCAGCAGCACCTGTATCCCCCAACCCTAATTTACACTTATTCTGCACACATATTTATAGTACTACCCCACCTGGCCTAAACCAGTGGTTCTCAACATTTCTAACGCCAATACTCTGTAATACAGTTCCTCATGCTGTGGCAACCCCAACCATAAAATGTTGCTACTTCTTAACTGTAATTTTGCTTCTATTAAGAATCATAATGTAAATATCTGATATACGACTGCAAAGGAGTCACAACCTACAGGTTAAGAACCTCTGGCCTAAACTCAAGTCCTGTTCACTGCTGTTATCTGTTCATTCGAGATAGACTTTATGAATGAATTAAGGGGCATTTACTTCCAGGGCTTGACAAGTGATTGCCAATTAGAGTATCACCATGGATCTGAGAGCCTTACCCTAAAATTTTTTTAGAAGAAAGTGAGTTTAGAAACAGGTAGAATCTAAGATACTCTATGGAGTAGTTGAATGCCTGTCTAGTATTTCCATGGCCAGTTAGAGATCAATTAACAATTTCTTAAGTGTAAGTGCTCCCTTCTGAAAAGGCTATGAGGAGTGGGCATGTCCATTACATTGTTTCTTTCCATGTCTTTTGTTAAGTTCAGTTTCCCCCTTTCCCAAAGTGCTGCTTTTTAATGATCACATCAATTCTGTATTTCTCGACTGAAGAAAATTGCTCTCATTTCTATACCGCTACCGCCTGGGGCCTTTCTTTTCCAGTTGGTCTTTAACCTAATAACACACTTTTGTGTCTCCCATAAAACACCCTGACAGTGTTAACTGCAGAGGCTCAAGCAGGAAGCTAGATGATTCAGGAAATCCAGTCTCTTACTGGGTGAAGGGCTTCCCAACGTGGTGAGGTGATTTCATCTTCTTGTGTCCCCTGTCATTCTAAGTCCCTTCCTTGTCTGCCCCATCCAAGGCTTCTCATACAGCTTTTCAAGCACATTCTTCAGGTTCACTAATTAAAAACATCATCTTGAATAAGCAGATGCCTACCTATTTGCCAATCCCAGGGCACCTTTAGCAACTCCTTGTGTTCCATGATGGCTCTGTAGAGACAAAGGAAATGAGCGGGAGGGTTACACGCATTGCTTCCTTCTCCTGTCATTGACATCATTCACATAAATACTAACGAAACCAATTGAACTTCAGAACTAAGTTGGTCTCTGCATGTGGCCTCATCCTGCAAGGTCTTGCCAGGTGTGGCCAGCAGCAGTGAGGGTCTGGTGGAGTTTAAATCGTACTACCCTCCATCAAACAGGTTTCCAGGGTTTGAGTTGCTTTTTGTTGGTGCGCTTTGGGGGAAGCAGACGGCAAAGCTGAGAAACCTCTATGCTCACAGACTTGATTTCCTCACTGAACATTCAATACAGGAGTGATTCTCAGAGTTACATGTGTCTGATAGTCATCCGGGGAGTTAAGCCACTGTCTTTGGAACCTCCTCTCTAGACCTTTGGATTCAAATGAACTTGGAAGTGGCTCAGGGAGGCACTTAGCTGACGGCTAGTTCTCGGTGATGGCAGTGTTGTTGGTCCAAGGATCAGGGGGTTAGGGTGGTGCCACTTCAATAACTCTACCAGCAAGGGTTTGGGTCCATTGCAATCTCAACTTATCTGATTCACCAAACAAAGCCCTTATTTTGGCAGCAATGCCCCTCCCCCATAGCGCCATTAACCACAACAGACTGTCACCAAGCAAACAAGCAGCAGATCTCTGGATATATGTTTTGATGCAACAGCACTACTAATAATGTATAAAATGGACCACCCATCTTTAAAATGTCAGCCAAGAGTAGTTTACCTAATAGTCTTTTTATCCCCCTCACAAAAATGGATTGGCAAATTTAGGAACTCTGAAATGACATCACACTTTCAAAACGAAACCCAAATAAATCACCAGTTTTCCCATTTCTGTGTGCCTTCTAGAGAGTTTGCAGTCTTTCAGGACACAGGATTCGAGGAACGTGCTGGGACCAACCTATATACACAATGTTTCAGGTGATGCCAAAAGGTTTTCCTCAAGTAATTTCTGATAACAAACCTATACAATTACAAAGAGTTTGTTTTGCGGAAAGAAATTTCATGGAATATCAATTGCTTATATGGATGAAACTAGATTGTTCCTCATATGGACTGAAATGTGTGTTCTTCACTGGTAGGAAATGATACTTCATTTACAACAAATTTTGAGGGACCAAATAGTGTATTAAGGAGGGGCTTTTGCTCCAGTTTTGGAATTATTGATAAACTGGTGCATTTTGCTTTTTGGCATTTGAATGTGCAGTGCATTTTAGTAACTCTCAATGTTCTGTCTCTATCTTTTTAAGGAAAAGAGAATGCTAAATTCTAATATGTGAATTTGAAATGTGGTTCATCTTTGCAAACACATAGACAACAAAGAATACCTATAAAAGGGCAATTCTATTTTTAAGTGTTTCCATTTTATTTTACGTATATTTTGCCTGCTAGTCTCTGTCTCTGCACCACACATATGCCTGGTGTCTAAGTAGACCAGGAGAGGGCATCAGATACACTGGGGCTGGAGTTACCAACAGTGTGAGCCTTCATATGGATGCTGATACAAGAATCTGGGTACTCTGGAAGAGCAGCCAGTGCTTTTAAAGGGCAGTTTTAAAGTAAGCATTTCCTAACAGTTGCCAGTAATAAACAAAACATAGCCCTTTTGAGGTGCATCAAATCATGACATTTGTGCTTTGCTTATACTGTTTTTGCGAATTATAACCCACTCACTGGGAGAAGGAATGTACTTCTGATTCTTCAAAATCAGCTTCAGAATCTATTAAATGCTTTATAATAATTTATAATACACTTACTTAGTTGGGAAGTAATTTACTAATGAGGATATATTTTGTATATTGAATAAGATCTTTGTGCAGGAGGTTGATGACTTCCTTTCTGCCTTGGTTTTTACACTCTGAGGGCAAAAACTGGAAAAATGAAACTCACTCCTTATAGTTTTCAAGGTTCTTGTTGTTTTTACTTACAATTGAATTCCACTGAAAAATGCACCAAAGAGACCAATCATTCCTAGGAACTCCACTCGGCTCAGAGTTCGGATGATGGATTCTTCCCAGACGTTAGAGATGCCGTACAGTGTGGCTCCTCCCAAGACCAGGAGGTCCCCTACCAGCTTATTTTCCCCTAGGAAACAAAGAAAACAGATGGAGCCTCAGGAAAATCTTTCTAACAAGAATCTGGCACCAGAAAGCTGAGCTTCTCTGTCTATTTTCTTCTGACACTTTTATAAGAAGCCCAGCAATTTCCAACTGGAATCAAGTAAAGGTTTTAAAAATATGTTTTCTAGATATGCTGGGATATAAAAAGCTACCTATCTTAGTGGAGCTGGAAATTTTCCTAAAGAATGAAGTTTTCTTCAGGTTAATTCTTTCCAAGCCCATATCTCTGTCTAGGGATGTGTCTGCAGCTATTATGTATATGTATCATTTTTGTTTAATGGCATTTCCAGTTGTTTGGTGAATCAGTCATAAACCCAATAAAGTCAATTTCCAGCCTCTTCAATGCATAGAGAGAAGTTATAGCAGCAGTCAATACTCTGTTTTTGATCATTGGCTAAATGTGTACATACTTAGACAAGGGAACTGACAGGATTTGTAAGATTTCAACTTCTCTGACACAACTCAAGATATAATTCACCATAATATTAATTTTTTTTCAAACAAAAACAGTGTTGGTTTCAAACTCAGTATGGATTGGTTCTCGTTCATGTCCAGTTTTAAATAAATTTCTTATCCTATAATTAAGCAAACTCTTCCCACTTCAGGTAGTGTGCATGGAAGCCCTGGAAAGAGAATGAAAATGAGCAGTGGCAGCAGCCTCACTGGTGGACTCTCCGGTGGCTCCTAGCTCCGTGCATCAGGTGCCAGGCAGCTGTCCTCTAGGTAGACATGCAGCTCTGGAGGAGAAGTGAAGGATGCGGAAGGCGTCCACTGCGACAGCACCCTTAAGGAAGAGACCCACCTTCGGAAACTTTGAATTCTGAGATTATCTGAACAACCATACAACTGTAGAAGAAGGAAGTCACCGTTCTTTGGAGAGCATGGGACATTGTCTAAGTAGAGGGTTCACATGAATCAAAGCAGGGTTGCAATGAACTTCTGCAGTTGTTCACCTCAGGTTATATCTCTGTGCTAAATGGCATCATCACCCTCTTCCAGGCAACTTCCCACTCCCAGTGGGAGGACAGTGGGAGAGACCCTGAAAGACAACAGCTTGCTGGAGTTAGTCTCAAGGGAATGAAATTGAGAATGTGATTCTGGGAAGGCTGTGAGACTTCCTTGAGTCCACGAGGAGCTACCATCACTACTCACCAGATGAGAAGAAAAGTTAATGAGGCCCTGATGAGAAAGCAGGCCTGGGGGAAGATACCCTGGGCACCTCTGTTAGAGAAATGAAGGTTGCCATAGGAGGGAAATCTTCAACAACTGACTAATCTCTATGTGTCAGCTACTGAAGTGTGAACATCTTTGAACTTGACACAGTCTATACCTCAAATTCTCAAGCATATCTTTTAGTCATTCTTCATTCAGGAAACAGTTCAGACTCTCATAATGACATGAAGTCATTGTTATGAATATCAATTATTGTTGTACTAGTTAAATATACAAGGACTTCTTAATAGAACTCTTGGTTAATACAGTTAATTTTATATGAATGGATTCCTGAAAACAAAGTCATAATGAAATATTTTAATAAGACTTAGAGGAACATCAGTTTATCGTTTGAAAGTCCTGAAAAGTGGCCCCTGGTTTTGGTGACTAGTCTTATACAACTGTTTATCTTTTAAGATTTCTTCTTATCCATTCACACGCATGGGTGTCACATCTCCAGCAGTTGGAGTTACAGGCAGTTGTAAGATGCCAGATATGAGTGCTAAAAATCAGTCAGGTACTCTGGAAGGGCAGAGTCCCACCCACCCGTTTTTTACAGTTATGGACTAGCCTGCAGATGGACCTACTAAAGGAAATGCAGTAATCAGTGCTTTAAATCTTCATTTATTCTGAGATAATTTTGATAATAATGTGATTGCATACAACTTCCAATTCAGAAAAATTTTCAAAGTTATCACTGACAAAATATTGCATAGAATTTATTGTGACTTGCCAGTAATCCTATTCATCAGTTTTTAAGTTACTTTAAAGTAGATGTATATGCATATAGCAGGGGTTACCATTTGGACTTAAATATTGCTGAAAGCCTACTTGTGAAGACTTGGCTCGCAGCATATGGTGTTATTGACAAGGAGTGGAACTGATGGGAGGTAGAGCTGAAGACAGAAGTCGTCTTTGGGAGCCTGGCCCTAAAGAGGATATTGACACCCAGTCCATTCCTCTTAGTCTCTTTCTGTTTCTTGTATGTCATGAAGGGAACAGTTCCCCTCTGCTATATCCTTCCACCCTGATGTACTGTACTACACCATTCTAAATTCTCAGAATGTTGAAATTAATTATCTGACTGGAAATGTCTTGACCTCTCATATGACAGTATTTTGAATGTTGATAGTTTTCCATTCAGGTAGAGCTGGGTAAGTCACACCTGTCATGAACTACAGGGTCTTCCTTTATCTTATTTTCTTTATCTTAATTGTTAGTATTGTAAGAATAAAACAGTATGTAGAATGTTGAACATATCATGTCTCACTGCTTGTTCACAAATGATGTTTTTAAAGGGCTAATCTTCATTCTATTTGAATAACTTTCTGTCTGTATGGATAGGACATTTTTCACTCTGGATTGCTCATGTTTTCTAGTCAACACTTTCATAATTGCTTTTCAATAATTAGTTTTCCATATTATATATTATTTAATCACCAGAAATATCTTTTTAAGGTATATATTTGTTATGTGTGGTACTAAGAGAAGATTAACTAAAAATCATGAGTTGTCACTAGTTCAAGAATGAGCTTTATTATTTAGGAGTATTGGAAGACTGCTAGTTCCTTTGATGAAAATGTACCCATCGCTTGAAATGCATTGGAGTTTTAAATATAGAACTAGCTGTCTTGTTTTCATAGGACTCAATGCTAACTTTAAAATCTCACATCTGAGCAAACCTCCATCCTGAGCAATCCAGGATGGTCTTTACTCTAATTAACTAGTTTAAAGACTTTCATATTTCCCAAACAAGATGCAATTATAGAAAAATAAGAATTGAGTCGAATAGAAAAAAAACTGTGAAGATTTTCCATCTGAGCCACCAATCTACCTTGATTTCTGAGGATGAAACCTGATAATTTTTCAGCGTTATTAGGATAAAATGAGGTAATGTACAAGAAAGTATCTGGCAGCATGGCATAGTCAGTAAAAATGTCACTTTTATTTGATTCTGTTGAGATGCCTGGCTTGTTAAAAGTATTGAAATAAGTACAAAGTTGTAGCTAATAATAAATTATTGACCTAAAAGATGCAATAAATATGGTAGAAAAAGGCTATTTTTAGAAGAAGCAATATTTTATAATAGGGCATTATTTAAATTTTTTGTCTTCATCTTATAGCTTTCATCCTTTGGATTTATACCCACAAGTTAGAAAAGTAGAGGTCATGATGATGCATCTCTGGGGCTTTACTGAACCATGTTTATATTCTTCTCCATTTCTAACATTTCCACCATCTACTAGATATCTCCCACCACTCACATCAGCAAAGGCATAGCTGGTTTTTCAGAGAGGTCTGTGACGCAGATGGGAAGCTAAATGACAAAAAGAGAATTTACATATTTAGGTCCAATGTTTCTATTGACTAACTTGGAAAAGAAATCTACTTTAGAAGAGCTTAATGATGTAGAAAGTTCTTATGGTGGGTGACCAGCTGTGCCTGTGACAGGCACTCCATGGGTGTCAAAGTGAGGTCTCTTATGCCAGGAGATTGGGTGCCTCGCTTTGACCCTGTCTGCAGTAAACAAACATGATGGGCAAGTTTCATCAGCACCGTTCATTCTGTGCCTGGACCAATTTTTCTTTTTGTATGCAATTCCTGATATTATGTGAGAGGGTTCCTCCACCCAGGCTTAAATCAAGGAAGAATTCCTGGTGTGCTGAAGAAGAACCATGCCAACAAAGAAAATGAAAACAATTAACTCTAATGACGCCCAAGTAATTGTGAGTGGGCTAAAATCAACGTGGGCTAAAAACTGTCAAAATCTTAAGTTCAGAGCAAACAGGATTTAAACAATATAATAAAAAATGAAGTCAGACATCCTCTTTTCCTTTGAAATCTTTTGATATGATTGTAAGAATTTAGATGAGTCTAATGATTCATTAAAGTTCTTGTGAGTCTCCAAAATATTACAGAAAAGCCTGGCAATCTTGGCTGATTAATGCAATTGAACCACTGTATTGTAAAGGTAGAAACGAGTTGGACAATTTTAGCAATAATGCATATAAATTTTAAAATTCTGTTGATTCCCAAAGCAATGTGTTTTTAAAAATAGCTTACATAATAGCTAAGATTTCTGCCAAATTTGGTATTTTATAGAGATAAAGTATATGTAGTCAATGAGCCCCTGAATTTCATATTCGGGCTGGCCTTAAGGCATTGATCCATTTGCGTGGGCACCACTTCACTAGCACAGGGTGTGTTCTACAGAGATAAGATTTAATTCTGTCAACACCAGAGCTTTGCATGTCACAAAAGGCAACGCTCTGAGACCCAAGCAGGTCCACAGGGACAGTGCTGTACCACTTCAGTATGTTTTAGCTGTGTCTTCATTTCAATGACAAGTGACTGCTTAAGGAAAGGCTCTTAAGACGATTTGTTTTCCTACCCCTTCAGAGCCAGAAAATGTTTTTTTACAGAATTAGTGTATGTAATCTAAGAAATCAGTTCAGAGTTAACTTACTGTTGGAACCCAAAATACTCTGAGTTATGAGAACAACTGTCTTGACTGACTATGGAATAAGAAGATGACTAGAATGAACAGCTGGGGTCAACAGCCAAATTTTTTCTAAATAGGGGTGTATACTTCTGTTTCATGTGTGCTTATTCAGTGCCAAGAAAGCTTAGAAACTGTAGCCAAACTGTGACATTGTATCAGACAGAATGCTATCTGTTAAGTTCGGAAGAGGTTACTATCAAGATGGCTGACTTTATGAAGCACACAGTCAGACCTTTGATACACTATGGACCAATGATCCACAGAACAAGTGTTTCACAAGGGAGAACTGGGGAGATGGTGGGTGTATATTTTTAAGCCATCTGCTGAGGTAGCAATTCATAACCTTTCGGCTGCAGGTCCAGGAGACTGAGGATGTCTCTGTATTCTTTGTTGTCACTTTAACTGTTAGTAGTGTGGAAGGAAGAAAGCCTGACTTAAAGGTTGGGAGTCCAGGAGCCTAGCCTCTCATTTCAGCACTGTGATCTTGGGTAACTCACTTGGCTTTCCCAGAACTTGATGTTCCCTCATGTCAAATGCAAAGGAGGCTGAAGAAGGTCCTATGATGGAATATAAGTGACATCATTTCAGAAACTTCACATAGCCTTGTCTCATAAAACAAACTGACACAATTTTGAGTCTTCATTATCTAACTTTTTAAAAGAAAGGGCAACTTTCCATGAACTTTAGAAGGTGAACGCTGTCTACTCCACTTCTGATGATAGCAAAGGGGTGTGTGCCAAATTTTTTTGTCTCTTCTAAAACTCTGTATCTCAAGAATTGAAACCTATTTAGAAAGTCCTTTGAGAAAACACTAAGATCAAGGTTCCCCTGGAAGATTCACAGGAACTTGCTGACTTAATCACAAAACTCTATGTCTATAAGATGTGATCAATGTAACAACTCCTCCCATCAAAACAAATTAAAAAAACATTCATGAGATGCCACCTAGCCTCTGGAAATGATACATCCTGCTCTGGTCTTCAGATTGTAAATACCTATTCTCTCGCCTGTAAACCAAGCATCGCCCAGTAGTTGTGAAGTTTAGTCTCCGGCCTGACAGAGCTGGGGCTGGGTGAGGAGGAGGGGGGGAGGCTTTGTGGCTGAGTTGCTGTTTGACTTGTCAACACTACCTTTAACTGGCTGTTCCAGACCAGCAACTCTGATCTTCAAAACTTCTACCACCTAGATGCCTAGATGGTGACCTCACTTTTAAAAACTGTGCAAATGTCTCTGAATTTTACATTTCACATTCACTCAGAACCTTAGAAACCTTACTTTGGGTGTGGGGCAAAAACATGAACATGAACTCTGTCACAGGAAGAACCCAGTTCCTAGGAGTCCTGTGTTCAACCATAGATATTCTAGGTCTCCCTGATATCTCCATCAAAGAGAAGAGTGACCTGGTGACCATCCCAGCACTCACCTGCTCCCTGGTGTCTTCCCACGAGCACATCAGCTCCCACCATGCAGCCCATCCCCAGGATGCAGACCACGATGCCGATGAAATGCACAGCCTTGTACCGGATCAGCAGGAAGAACCAGGAGAGCAAAATCACCACTGGGATCACAAAACAGTCCAGGAGCTATTGGGGGCACCAACGGAAACAAGTTAGAGGCTCACGGATGCTAGGACATAGAAAAAAGTTCCATTCTGATGGAAAGTCCTTCCAGAACAGAGTCTTTATGTGGGACCCAAAGCAGAGGCAGTTAAGGCTCCCTGAGACCTACACACAAGACAGCTTTGTTTCTCACCTAACCACCAACATCCCCAAGACTTGACGAAAGGGAAGAAGAAAGACGGATGAGACTGGATGGTGTGAAGATTTTCCTGTTCTCTTCTGTATCTAGCCAGTTTCACTGTGTGTCTTCTGAGCCATGAAAACATTCCTTTGAACACCTGGGCCATGGGGGAGGACACCTTGAGCCATTTCACACTGTTTCCCCATTTCAGGAGTAGATATCAAAATGAAAGGTGAGGACAGAGAGGTCTTACAAGATTTTGTAAATTAATAGAACTTAGAAAATGTGTACTTACTTTTTATCAGCAATTATCTCCCTTCTAATACTGACGAGCCTCTAATCTAATAATTGCTGTTTCACTTGTAATATCGCCATGCATATTAGTGTGATAAATAGGGAGATGTAAATCCCTGAGAGTTGGGGCAATTGCCTTTGGTGAGGTAAAAGGAGAACACAGTGACATGAGGGGGAATGACAGGGATCCTGTGCAGAGAATCAGAGTCTGTGCTCTGTGGCATTGGGCTGTCACATACTCAGGAGGCCTCTATTTCACACTACAAAGAAAATGACCGCATCATCTCTCTCTGGTGACCAGTGCAAAACTCAGAGTTAATGTGTATGGAAGTATTTTTGTATTTGGGCATGGTGGATCACACCTGTAATCCAAGTACAGGGGAACCTGAGGCAGGTGCATCATGAGTGTGAGGCCAACCTGAGCCACATAGTGAGACCATGTCTGAAAAACAGAAGGAAGGGCAGAAGATGTAGCTCAACTGCTACATTGCTTTCCCAGCATGCACAAAGCCCCACATTCAAGCTGAAGCACACCGTGAAACAGGTCCATGGTACTGTGTGCTTCTGAGCCCAGAGGAAGAAGAACCAGACATTCAAGGTCACCCTTAGACACACCCTGTGTGGGAGGCCTGCCTGAGCTGTATGAGGTTCTTTCTCAACAATAACAAAACCAGTTTATGGAATCTTGAAATTTGCAGGCAATTGGATGGCACTAGAAGAAACCATCCTGAGTGAGGTAACCCAGAGAAACATGGTATGTACTTGCTCATATATGGATTTTAGACATGAATTAGGGGAGTGCCAGCCTACAATTCCACTGTCAGAGAGTCTGGGAAACAGAACCTTCATCCAAAGATTGACAGAAGCAGAGGCAGACACCAACATATAAACACTGAACTGAACTCCTGAAATCCAAAGAAAGAAAGGGAGAAATGATGAGCAAAGTTGTTAATACTGGGCTGGTTTAACCCACAGAAATAGTTGGCCTGAGCAAGGGGGAGCTCTTGGACCCCAGACTGATAGCTGGGTGGACAGCATGGGACTGATCCAGACCACCTGAATGTGGGTGTCAGTGAGGAGGCCTAGGTAGTCTATGGGGCCTTGGGTAGTACTTATCCCTAGCATACAAAAGGACTTTGGTTGCCCACCCCACAATGAGGGATGCTCCCTCAGGCTGGTGTCTTGGGGGAGGGCCTAGGCCCTGCCCTGGATGAAATGACAGACTTTGGAGATCCTCCACAGAGGGCTTCACCCTTCCTGGGGATCAGAATGGAGATTGGGTGGGGGACTGGAGGGCCTTGTGGTGGGGAGGAGGAAGGGAGGGAGAGGGAGCTGGGATTGACCTGTGAAGCAAGCTTGTTTTTAACTTAAATAAAAAAAGGAAGAAAAAAAGATATATAAAAATAGAAGTAAAAACAAAATATTTTAAAATGAGTCCCACAAAGACTGTTTAGAAGCCTCCAAATGCTTTAGGTGCCCTGGACCTGGATCTGTCTCTATTAGGTAAATCCTTGGAAAATGCTTGTCCAACTTTGGGTGACTGTAGTGGCAAACCAATGTCCCACAGGACTTCAGCTTCCATGTTTTGAAGGATTTGCCACACTTTACAAATCCTCACTAGAATCCTAAACACTTGATTCTAGCAGCTAGCAGCATCGGGCAGGGAGTGATCTCTGATGCTTCTCCACTCCCACTGCCTACCTCCAATTGATCAGCACGATCTGATCTGTCACTTCCATCTTGTAAATGTCTGCCATTCATATTCATGCCACCCTCTCCCACTTAAACCATCAAGGCTGAGCTAGCATCCTCTCCTACTGGAAACAAGCCCTTCCTGCTAGACCCAGAGCCTTCACTCCTGGAGCCCACCTCTGCTTCTGAAATGGTTCACTCTAATTCTTGAGTTTCTGGTTTCCCTTCCCTTTAAGCCTCCTAGAACTGAAGATGAGGTCAGGTCCCAGTTGACAGTTTTCTTGCACATTTTTCTCCTTCATAGTGCCCTTGCAACCCTAGTTAGTCAATACATTTTTGACATAATGTTCCTACTTATTCACTTGCCTGTTTCCAGCATACAGAATGCTGCCCAGGCTCATGAGAAGTACCGAATAGTAGTCACTAAGCAAGAACACACAGATTGCTAATGATCTGGAGCATCAAAATCCAGCCCCTGAGATCAGTAACGTCTGGGGGAAGGCTTGGGCATTCACACGGTATCTCTGAATGTCAGCCTAGTCAATTGGCAGCTTTAACAGCACTCAGAATTCCTGCTCTCTCCAAAGATGTTTGTGATGTGAACAAGCCCTCATGCGTCTCTGTGGATTGAACTTCTCTCCTGCCAAATGACAAAGGCACTCAGCGTGCCCAGTCATCTCCAGGGTTACTGGATGGATGTCAGTCACAGTGAGAATCACCATGTGAATGTCATGCCAAAAGTCGTGTGAACCCTGGGGGCTGGTCACAGTACTTCAGTTGGGGCTCTGTATAAGCAGCGGCAGTTGGTGGAATTGCTTTTGGGCAGCCCACAGTTGCTCCCTGCACAGTAAATTAACAATGTAAGTTAATGACCTATCTGAATGGCTATATGCACCATGTTAGATTTTACAACTGGCTTCAGATGCCATGTAATGAAATTTCAGTTTGCCAGTGGAAATTGTTCACTACACATAATGCAGTCATTGTTCCACTTTGCAAATTGAAACTGATTGGATTATTAGATTAAGTTGAAATATTTTACTAATTGCCATACAGTTGGCATTGCATCTGACTGGCAAAAGAATCTTTTACAAAGCTAAAGGTTTCATTTTTGGATCATTGAGGGCAGAGCAGCACATCATCCAGGCTTTAAAGGGGGCTTTTTTTTTGTCTCTCAGCATCGCTAGAAACAGTAGAGTCCTTGGTGAGCCCCAGGACCTGTTGTTTCTCAATTTGGGTATAAAAACCCTTGTTTGCAAGTATTAGGTGGTCCCAAGGATGAAACATGTTTAGAAAGAAAAGAATGGAAATAAGAATGTCACCAAGCCAGAGCTCACATGATGCTTGTTCCAGAGAAGTTTGGTGCTCCGTTTGGAGTTGGGCTTGGTAAATGATGCTTGGATAATAGACACATCCCTGACTTCCAGGAGGGCCATAAGAAGTAATCCAGGCCATTAGAGGCATTTGGAGTTCAGCTTCAATTCTTCATTTTGCAAGAGTGTCTCTTCTTTTACTGCTGCCCTTGCCTTTAAAGCAGGTGTACACATCTACCAACATCCTCTTAGGGTAGCATCTCCCCAGTGTAGAATCCAGTTCTTTGAAAGTTGGGCACAATTTCTGTTCTCAGCAGTGGTTATGAATAATGATGCTTTTGAACAGTATTTCAGTGGCAATCAATGGCAACCATTAGAGTTGCTGCTGCTGAGTCCTCAACATGGCGTCTGTCATTGCCGGTGAGAAGTTGTTGGCAGCCACTATTAGTAAACCGGTCATTAGTTTTCTGTGACTTTTTTTTGCCTCCACCTCAACTCCATATTGAAGACTGCTCAGATCATAGAACAGAAGCACATTGTAATAGCTGCCCACTACTAGGCCTGGTAAACAAGAAAATGTAAACAAGCTCACCTTCAATTCTGTTACTAAAGAGTTTATAAGAACCCAATTTCAAATGGAATCTTTTTCATATTCTTTACATATTTGGGGGGATTTGAGTTCATTGTAATTATTGCTTACCCTGAAAACTTGAGGAATGAGTCCAAACTTGCTTTCTCTTGAACTGATTCAGATTTAAGCCAAAGTCCTCAAAGATGAAAGACTCACTCTGTTCCCAAGGTTTCTAAGACCAATAAGTGTTTCTCCATTTTTAAATATAAGAAGCAACCTCTAACATTAAACACTTTTAAATTGTCAGCAACTACGATCAAATGCAAAGTGAGGAGAGTTCTTTAACTAAAATGATTATTTCAATGAGAAATGCAAAACTAAGAGTTCAATAGGAAAATAGATCTTCTTTGTCAGGCTTTCAACATGATGGTATTCTCTTCATGCTGAACTGGTTCTTGTGTTCTCCTCAGTAATAACTAGTAATGGAGGGATTTTTCAGAGATACGAAATCTAACTCCTCCTGTTGGGGGGAGGAGAATCATCCTCCTTTAAACCCATTTCTCTGTTGAAGAAGAAATTATAAAAATCCCAACACCAAAAGATAAATAACCATTATTTTATGACCAAGTTACACTCTGAAAAATTTCAGAGTACAAGAAGCACTTTGGAACGGGGTATGATGGCAAAGTCTATATCAGAGCACTCAGGAGACAGAGGCAGAAGCATCATGAGTGCTGTTATTTAGAAAGCAGTGGGAGAAAGATATCATTTGACAGAGCTCATGTGGAGGGTTTTTATTAGGGAAAGGGAATGAAAAAGGGGGAGGTGAGTGGGGGAGACCAGCCTCTCAGGACAAGAGCAGCAGAAGAGAAAACAGAGGCAGAGACTCAGGCAGAGTAGCAGAGAGAGAGAGAGAGAAAGAGAACACACATACATAGATATATCTATGTCTATATCTAATCTATATCTATAT